AAGCCATGGAAGATTTGCACAAATTTACCCAGCCTAATCGAGTCGTTTGAGTCTTTGCAGTGTGACGGGAACCATGAGCATGCTGAAGGCAGAGGTGAGTCATTGAAGCGTACGGAGAGTTATACATTCCGCATGACCGACATGATTCACAGAGCTTTCGGCGTGTCCGTGGCCAATTAACTCAAGCTCGCGACCGGGGACGGTAAGTCGTATCTGTAGCTTTCGATCCCGCTTTGCCTTCTTGAAACGATGAGCGCATCTCGTGCCACTGAGACGGATGCCATTGAGTTCTTTTTGAACCACCCAGGTATGTACATCGATCCGCAGTCCCAGCCGACTCAGGCAGGGAATGATGAGTGCTGGAAGAACCTTCTTCGTCGCACTTCTGTTCTTGGTCACATTTGCGAATCCATGCATGATGGTCGTTCCCATCTCGATGCAACTTGTGACGGAAACCCCTATGATACGTGTTGCAACGTCCTGGGGAGGATCGATGAGACTCATCGTGAAATTTTGGAGTGTAATCCTCCGAGGTTCATGACACAGCTTCCATGCCCGGGGGAACCCGTGGTCGACTTCATCTTTGCAGAAGACAGTTCCATGGCACTTGTGGACGAAGGTCTGTATGCCGACGGAACGGTCAAGCGCACCAAGAGGAATGTCGGCGAGTTCCTGAAGGCCAGGCGAATGGACCTGTTGACCGAGAAGGCAGGATCAGCCCAATACTCCATGCATTGGGGCAAGGGACTGAAAGATATCACCGACGGAATCGAAGCGTGCCTGGACAACAAAGCACGACGCACACCGGGAGGTGTTGCCCCAGCTGTGGTGGTTGTCAGCTACGCTGGCAACGATGTCTACGGAAACTATGGGTACGTAGGCAATCCATGGGTAGACACCCAAGTCCTTCACAGGAATCCGGCAAAGCAGCAAGCCGCGTACGCGTGGCAGGCTGAGCTGGCCGAGAGTCACACCCAACAGATGCGGCGTCTCGCCGATCTAAGGCAACGCAAGGATGTAGCGGCTCTGATTGTCATCTGCTACTGCGATGGGCAGTCCTATGGCTTGCCGGAGGACTTCACCCGCCAAATGGTCCTTGTTTCCGAGGCCTTCAAGAAGATGGGCGTGATCACTGTGGCCGGCACAACGCTCGTGCGCTCATGTACCAGGTACGACAGCTTCCATTGCCTGAATACAGACGCCAACCGGGATCTGTTTGTCCGATACTACGCTTCTGTTGCCCTGTTCGCCTATTACTACTGGGTTTTGGCCGGTGTGGACATTCTCAGGAGAGACGCGAACCTGTTCGCGAAGCAGAGAGGCAACAAGACACGCAAGGCTTTGATGCGTGAGCGGGTGTGGAACAAGCGGTTCGATGAAGGCTACCTGTGCATTGGTGATTGGTATGAACCGTACCCAGGTGAAATCCGCCTGCACGCCATCACTGGCACTGGCAAAAAGGTCGCGCTGACAGAGTTTGAGGAAATTGCGATCCTTGATGACTGGGGTGAGTGGGAGGACGCCGCCCAGGAAGAGATCGAAGCCGCCCGAAAGCTACCTTTCAATGTGAGGGCGTATCAGCAGCGGGGGACCGCGGGCCAATGGTTGATTCCGACTGCAGCCGATTGGGGTGCACCTTCGGGAGCGCCCAATCCCAAGGAGGATGACAAGATGGAAGTGGATGAGCCGAAGGTCATCGAGATCGATGAAGTCTTTGAACCACCCACTACCACGCCTCCGGGGACGGACGGCCGCGATCAGAACAATCAGGCTCCTGCCTCTGCAGCTGGTATGGAGTTTGTCACTGCGAATGCGCCCGTTCCGGCTGACGGTGACAAAGAGTTCGGGCCGCCAGTGCTCACTGAGGAAGATGAGCTGCTGGTGATGAATGATCCTTTGGATGATGAAGAGCAAATCTTGGAGTTGCTGCAGCCACACATTGCTGTTGCAGAACGTCAAGGACATGAGAATGTCGATCAACCGGGTGACGATGAAGACCCCGATGACGAGATCCTGTTTGACACACCAATCCTCACGCACTTGCCTGACTCAATGCGTGATGAAGGCTTCAAGGTGCAAGGAGTTTTGTATCAGCTACGCCTCAATCCAGAAGAGCCTGACATCGTCCGCATCTACACTGATGAGGATTCGATCCCAGCTCTCGAAGGTGAGGCCCTCCGAAAGTTCAAGCAAGTCACTGAATTTCAGGGGGGAGCTGAATCAGGTGTGAAAGACAAGAAGGGAACCAAGATTCGCACTGCTGAGGTGCCACCAGCCAAACGAACTGGTGAAGAACAACCGCAGGAGCCCAAGCCCAAAGCATCCAAGAAGTCCTCAGAAGAGACTGCATCATCATCGTCGGACGTACGCCCGGCGGGAGCCGAGGCCGCTGCTGTTGAGAAACCGGCACCGAAGCCTCAGCCAAAGCCAACAGAACGCCCGGCGGGAGCCGTGGCCGATTCAACCACTCCTGCCACGGAGAAACCTGCAGTCAAGGCAAAGGCGATGCCCAAGGCTCCGCCGAAGGCTCCACCTATGCCGAAAGGTGCCACATCACCTCTATCAGAGAACCAGGTGGTGGCACTACAGTCCAGGGAAGTGCCCGGAGCCTCCAGACTGGACCACCTCAGCTCCGACCAAGTATGGCTATCACGCCGAATCTCTGGTCTGCTGCGAGGGTGGGAGCACACGAACAAACGGAACCGTGTCCCACCGCCGGCTTTACAGAAGGGACTTTGGATGGAGTTCAGCCATGTCTACACATGTACATCAAGAAGAAGTACAGACAGTCGCTGACCATCGATGACATGCTGGTTGTCCTTACGAGCAACCATCGTTTCATGATGGAGATCAAGGTGGCGCCAAAGGGGACTTTGGTCGGGGGAAAGAGGCCGTACACGCCAATGCGACTCAAAGCCATTCAGCATCACAACGACTGGTCTTACCAGAACGTGGAAGAAGCGCTGTCAGAGCACGAGCGCTTCATCGTGCTGGATCCGGAGTATGGCGTGGCCGAATACAACAGCGGCAAATTCCCTCGTATGCCAGTCAATGCCCATGGACGTGTCGAGGACATTCAGCCGACGATCCTCTACCACTATACGCACCATGCATCGATCCAGGATATCATCAACATGGGTTTGATTCCAGGTGGCAACCGTACCGGTGACATGTATTCGTTTCTGACAAAAGAGGACCCATGGAGCATCAGCACGACAGACTATGCAGCAATGGCATCCACTCGGCCAGTGTGCATAGCTCTCGATTTGCATATGATGGCAGTACATGGACATCGCCTCGTGGAAACGACGGCCGGCACAATTCTTTGCCCTGACTGGATCTCCTGCCGCTATGTCATGTTTGTGTATGACATGTCGAATACGTGCTACTTGTATGTCGAGACCCGGCGGCCAAATTTCCGGGCGAATCGCAATAGCATTAGCCCCACGGAGATGCTGCCGAACTACAACCGGCCCAGATTCGACTTCAGAGCCTGTGATCCAACGAAAGAGGGTTATGGCAAGACGCAATGGCTTGTAGTGGAAGGAATTCAAATGCCTGAAGGGCACTGCCCTACTTGTGAACTCCATTTCACTTTCGGCACGATGAGTTGCGGCAAGTGCGGTACTTTCTTGAACACCGCATCGGATCTTTGCAAGGCCGCCCAGGTCATTCGAATGGAAGAGATCGCCTCTGAGATGGGCGTCGAACTCTCACTCGATATGGTCCAGGAAGATCGGCTACAAGGAACCGGCATTCGCAACACGCCTGCGGGGACGCATGGCCACGATCCTAGAGCAAATCGATCAGGCATCAACATCCTGAAGACCAATGCTCGGAGCCATGTGAACAAAGCAGACAAGATGGGCATGACCATTTCGCAGAGACAATTTACAGATCCTCTGTACGCCTTCAACTGCGCAGCTCAAGATCTTTCACCGCTCTGCATCAGCTTCTTGGAGAAATTACCAAATGCGGTCATTCCGGACCCCCCAAGAACACATCAGATGATCATGCAGGGGGTCGGCCATCGCTATGCTGGAAAGCTGATCTACATCAACGATCCTGAGAAGGTGGGAGAGGCAGACATGAGCAAAGATTTCCTGGTGTATTGGAAAAACAGACTCTACCGACCTGAGGTCTTTGCAGCAAGCTATGCCCAGAACACAAAGCGTCCACCGATATTGGGATTCCACTCTGAGTGGAAGACCGATGAGAAGGATCCAGATGAGCTTCTTCAGCTTCTGCTCGACTTTATCGCTGAGGACATAGCCTTCATTCCGAATGTCGACTTGCAACTTGGCAAAGAGACCAGGACCATGATAGTTCCTCGAGCGAAAGCAGACTCCGCATCAGCCAAAGCCCTTGCGAGGGCTTCACAGGATCAAGCACGTGCTCATGAAGATTGGCGCCAGACTCAATGGTCATCCGCGTCTTCATCGTGGAATCGCGACCGGGACTGGAGCCAAGGGTGGTGGCAAGATCGCTCAAGCCAATGGCAGCGTGATGATCGCTGGAACCGTGATTGGTGGAGCCCTCGCAACTGGTAGAAACATCCGCACGACGGGAGTCGTTGCCTTTGGATTCAAAATCGAAAACCAGACAAAAAGGAAACATCCAATAGGCAGCATGGCTCTCAAATGTGAGGTTGTTCTTCCTCCATCGCACCGCGGGAGCGGTTGCCGTTGATGATCGCTTCTGTGATGCACCCGGGAACCGGATGCCGAACTTCGCTTTAGCACCAGCAAGGTATAATTCGTATGTTGAAGGTCGAAGTACCTGTAACATTGCAAGTCCAAGAGACGCACATACTTTTGTAGTGCTGATTCGCCACGCGGGAGCGTGTGCCGACCGGTGATGCTTCTGCTTTCTCAAAGGCCAATCGTGCACTTACCGCTTGATGCGTCAAAAGATCGTGCTGTTTCTTCATGAGATGACTCAATACATGTATAGCTTTGCAGTACGAGTGAACACTAGCATGAACCTGTCAGTGATTTCTCTGCCCTTGAGGTCAATTATCCTCTACATCTCAAAGGCAGGAACCGGTCTCGTCCGAATCGCACGTACCGGGGGACCGGCTGCCTTCGTAGGTCCCAATTCACTGTACATAGTCTTCACTCCTCCCCATTTTCGTTCAGCGGGGGGTGTAGTTTCACGCTAGTATAATGACATTTACGTCTCACTCGTACGACTTTGGCTCAAGGAAAACAAGGTGCGACTAGGTGGCGCTTCTAGGTCGTTTTCCTGTAACTACAGTAATAATTAAGAAATATATAAATATATATGTATATAAATGTAATCGATGAAATATTGCTTTTCCCCACAGGCCTAGCAAAGGATTCTCGCTTGTCTCTGGAGGTTGGGGCTTGATGCTGTGCTCGCTCAACATCGCCTCAACGTTCGCAGCAACCGTCCACAAACGAGCATTCAGACCTTTGTGGCGTCCCCATCAAGGGAAGGATTTGGAGGTGGTTCGGTTTTGGATGGATGGACCAGGTGTCTGATTGGTTTGACCGCCATTGAATCATGAGTTTTGATGGTGCGCGGGGTGCAGCGTTTTATGAGGTTTGCAGTTTGCGTCGTGGCTCAATTGGCATTGGGTTTCCCGGGTGGTGTGCGCCTGTAGCGTGCCGTTGGGATTTGCAGATGATGGCCCTTCGATCCTGCCAATTGAATGCCTGTGTCATGTGTAAAAACTCGGACTGAGGGTGTGCTCAGCTTTGGATGAACTCCAAAATGTGGTGTGAGAGCGTCACGTAAGAGTGTCTCACCAGAGTCACGCTAGGGCCGCTAGGGAAGAGTGTCCCAGAAGAGTGTTGCACAAGAGCTTCAAGCTAAAGTCTCCTACGAGAGTGCAACTCGACTGTGTCCTGGAAAAGTGTCTCATAGGCCGCATCAGAGCGTCCTACACATGTTGTTTCTGCAGCCGTGTGCCACAAGGGTGTCCTGCAAGAATGTTGTGCACGAGCGTCCTCCAAAGTGTCGCACCATGTCACATCAAAGTGTTTCTGAAGAGTGCCCCCGTGAGTGTCGCGCAAGAGTGGTGTGCTTTCCAGGACTTTTGCCGTACTACTATTTCTGTCACCACGAGTTTCCCCGGATTCGGTTGTTCCGGCGCCTGACATGTTAGTGTTTTGCATTTGGGTTTGTGGTTTATGTCAGGTTTCTCTTTTTAGGCAGGGTCTTGTGTTTTGTTCATAATTGTTCCCCTTGCAAAAAATGGATGGGCCTTGGCCTCAAGTGCAATGTGTTGTTTGCTGGATGCACCACGTGTGCGCAGAGCCGGGCGCATCAGGCAACTCATGTGGTGGCTATGACCCAAGCCCTTCCGGACACAGCAATGGACACAATGCAGCTGTGGAGACACTAGCCCTCCAGACGTTATTTGTGCTTGTTCTGGTCAAGCTTTGTAAGTCAAAACATGTGAATTTAGTAATAAGTTTAAGTGTTTGAAAGAGCCTGAAAGAACAATGCCCAGGAAGATGGTGCCGGAAGACAGTGACTTGTTTCGCGCTGGATTCGTATGAGCGTCGTACGATTCAGCAGTGTGTCCTTCGCTGCAAAGGGACCCACTGCTTCGTGTAAGGATCAAGTCTTCAGTTCAGCCCCAAATCGCTCATGGCGACCAAGTGATGCAGCGATGCTTGGAAGGCGTATTCATGAGAATTTGGTGGAGATACAACCTGAGCAAGTCAGCTAAGTGTCATTGTGTCATGTTCCCTCCTGCAGTATCCTGCAGTTCCGCATGCATATCGAAATGGAAACGGCGGGACTATCCAAGGACTGCCAGGAAATCTATCAGAGACCTTGAGATGGAGCTGAGCTTGGACAGAGACCGTTTACGGCTGATGATTCAGCAGGGTGCCAGCTACCCAGACCTCATACTGCGACGGCCATGCATGCGTTTTGAAGCTGCGGACGCTGCAGGTTCATAAGTCGAAAAGTGGGCTGAAGCGAACCGCCGGGAATCTCGGGAGCCGAAGGTTGACACGAACTCTGTCGGCCCATCGTTTTTTGAGTTCAATGAAGCTTCACTATCGTTTCTATCATCAATCCTTGCTTCAAGTGCTTTGCGAGAAGGCTGAAGTGAATCAAAAACCGGGTGCAAAGGTTTACCATTTTTTTAGATGATAGTCCAACAACTCATCTTCTTTTTGGATATGATTTGATTGAAATTGACGGGACATAAACATTTGATGACATTTGTCGGCAATAGACCTTCTGGACTTCAATCCTGTCAGGTGCGCCATGTGCAAACAGATATAGATCGGGAGGGCCTCTACCGCTATAGACGAGAGATGGTGGAGGACGTGGAGAATCGAGGAAAGCGTATCCAGCAGGCACGGGGACGTTCAGGAATCCAGACTGATGACCACTGTAGACTGTAGTACAGTATACTGTAGTTGTATACACGTGTGCACATCCATCAGAACTCTTGGCTCAAATCCGAGGGTCTCAGGCACTGTTTGTTGCCAATGCCCGTTTGATTATGAAGACAAGCTGGGACTTTTAGTCAAGGATCCTTTTCATAGCGCAAAAAAAACACACGATTCCTCCGCTGCTTGGCATGTTCCATGCATCTTTGCAGGCACTCCATGACTCCGCCCGAGCACGGAAGGATTTGCAAGGTTGTGCGCTGACCTCAGAGGACCACCAGAACCTACCCAGCACAATACGACTTTGACCTCGCCTCACTGGAATGTGATTTCCAAAGGTGGAGGCATTGAGGGAGACCATGACTGGAGAAGGCAAAAAGAAAAAGGCCAAGGCGCAAAATTGCGCAAGTGTTTGTGTGTGTGCCTCCCCTGTTCCAAAGGGTTCTCTTTTGCATGCGCGAATTCTAGAATGCAGGGGGCCAGCGGCCGACAAGCAAACGCTGGCGAACAAAGCTATGCTTGTTCGGTGGATGCACAGTCTGATGAACTGTGTGTACCTGCGCTGTGACATCACCCTACTCTTCTCGCTGTTTTTTGATTCCATGGGTGCTTTCATGATAGATCCCAAAACCTGTCTCCATCGCTGATTTGCCGCCGCGTTACAGCTGAGCGCTCTCGCAGTCAAGGGAAACCGCCACTGTTCAAACATTCTGTTGACCGCGGACTCTGCCTGCGGAGTATGATAACTGCAAGCCCTGTGTGTCGCTGTGCCCCCCCAGTGGGTACACAGTGTGATCCTCACGCAAGAGAAGCGCTGAAGTCATTGTGAGTCACATATCGATTTAGCTGACTTGCACCCGTGGGTCGGGTTACTGGCTCGTGTCTCACCCGTGAATCTTCTGATCGCAAAGCTGCCGAGCTACGGATTCTATGCCGCCGGGCTTACGGTAAGCATACACATGTACACAAACACATGGACATACACCCCCTTCCTCTCCCCCCTTTTCTCTCTTGCGCATTCTTCGTTTTCTAGGTGTTCTTTCAGGCTTGTTAGGTGGTTCTTGAGGCTCGTTTCCCTGCCCCTGTGTTTTTTTAGTCAAGGGCTAAGTAGTCAATTGCTAAGTAGTCACTAATTTCGCTACACCTATCTTTCTCTCTTGCCCTTTTCGTTTGGCTCTTTCTGTTTTAAGGCTTTTTAGGTACCTACTCAGGTTCTGATCCGTAATTTGCCGCTCGTGCGGCAGACCTGCACGCCTGGCCCTTTCGGGCCTCGCTTCCGTATCCACACCATCCACATGTACACCTACCCCTCCACCGCAGCTGCCGCCGCGGCTGTTACTCCGGTTCGATGGGGCAACAAAGAACAATACTGATCGCGCGCGAATTCAAGAATGCAGGGGGTACAGGCGTCTGACCCCTTAATTTGCAGTTCATTCAGCACTTTTGCTCGACAGATGTTGCGCGGCACTACACCTATCTTTCTCTCTTGCCCTTTTCATTTTGCTCTTTCTGTCTTTCTTTCTTCTTTTTCTAAGGCTTTTTAGGTGGCTATTCAGGTGTTTTGACACCATCATTTGCCGTTTACCTCCGCTGCGCCGCCGTGCTGCCGAGCCGCTTTGCGCTTACACAACCTCCCCACCGACCACCACAGCATCCTCCCAGCACTATGATTTTCAACTGCGTGCAGGGGTACCTGGGCCTTTCATTGACCGCCCGTCCTTCGATTCGGGAACATGTCAGTCTGACCGCTGTTACTCCGGTTCGATGGGGCAATAAAGAACAATGCTGACAAAACCTAACAAGCAGCCGTTTTGCTGGATGCAACAGTCACGACTCTTAATCGCACGCGCCGGAAAAGCGGCTGTCTGTGTGCGCCTCCCCTTGTTCCAAAGGGTTCTCTTTTGCGCGCGCGAATTCAAGAATGCAGGGGGCCAGCGGCCGACAAGCAAACGCTGGCTAACAAAGCTATGCAGCTATGCTTGTTCGGTGGACCGGTGGACGCACAGTCTGATCAACTGTGTGTACCTGCACTGTGACATCACCCTATCATGATAGATCCCAAAACCGTTTTCCATCGCTGATTTGCCGCCGCGTTACCGCTGAGCGCTCTCGCAGTCAAGGGAAACCGCCACTGTTCAATCATTCTGTTGATCGCGGAGTCTGCCACCATTATCCATATCGCTTTGGAAAACGATAACTGCAAACCCTGTGACAAGTGTGTCAACACCTGTCTGTCTCCAAGGATTCGGACACACTGAGGATTTCATAATTCAATTCTTGCAACTCCTTGTGCAGTGGGGGGTCCAGGCAGTTGTGAGTTGGCCCTGGACCAACGAAGACGGGCTCACAACTGGTGAAGCGAGAAGGGACGCCTTCTTGTGCACCTGCTGCACTTTTAACACACCATAAAGGGCTAATGAGTTTCCTCCGTCCCAGGTCCAACCTGCAGTAACCGTAAAGGGCTAGCTTCACTGGGAGATTGTAACTGATTTAGCTCTTGCGAGCCCTGATCGAACTGTGTCTCGCCACAGGGTCCCACTGAGGTCTGTGGTGTGATCCCCATCGAGGGGCACTTCCTTGCGCATACCCATAAAGGGGGATCCTTCATTGGCTTTTCGTCGTGCTCGAACTCTACTGGCTCAACGGTGATTATCTAAAATGCTGAACTTATGCCGCAGGGCTCACTGAGATTTCTTTCACAGAAAATCCGTGCCACGTTGCTAGGTATTCATAGGCTTTGGGACATTCCGCTAAGGAGTCACTTTCTTGGTTCTTTATCTCCCGCTGTTGCTCTTCGTTTTCTGAGTTTTCCTTCGTTTGTAGATGCTTTTAGGTCTAAGGTTAATTTTTAGTCAAGCGCTAAGTATTCACTCGTACGTTTCACATAGTATTTCACGCACGGTCTTGCTTTCCTTCTTTCCAGGTTTCTTTCCTCTTCTTCAGGTTTTCGTTCGTTGTTAGAAGTTTTTTAGCTTTCAGGCAAACTTTTAGTCAAGGGTGCGCCGATTCCGGCTTTCTGACCAAATTCCTTCGGGCCTGAGCCAGCCACCCCACCCCACCCCCCTTTCCTTGCCTTTCTCTTTTGTTTGGTCTTTCCTTCAGGCTTGTTAGGTTTGCTTTTCGGCTCGTTTCAATCAATGCGCACCCAAGCCCTCCCGCACCCCTGCACCTTTCCTTCCTTGCCTTTTTCAGGCTCGTTGAGTCAACGCACGCGCGACCCCCGCACCCCTGCTTCCCCCCACCTTCCCCGAAAGACCGCCTTTTGTGTGTGTCAACAATTGTCTCCAAGGATTCGGACACACTGAGGATTTCATAACTCAATGCTTGCAACCCAGTACAGCAGCAGGGGGTCTAGGCAGTTGTGAGTTGGCCCTGGACCAACGAAGACGGACTCACAACTGGTGAAGCGAGAAGGGACACCTTCTTGTGCACCGGCACTTTTAACACACCATAATGGGCTAATGAGTTTCCTCCGTCTCACCCATGCTAAAACAATACTGTTGAAGCGGACTCCTTCACCTTGCGGTTCACCAGCCAGGGTCTAATGTGCAGTAAGCAAAAAGGGCTAGCGTCACTGGGAGATCATAATTGACTTAGCTCTTGTGAGCCCTGATCTAAGTGTGTGTGTGTTTGTGTCAAGTGAGTTGAATGATACACCGATTTAATCCGGTTTTTCTATTTTACAATTCCTGCAACGCCTATCCGAATCCAGCCTAGCATTGGGACTGGAGATGGCCAAGCCAGGACAAGAACAGGCGTATGTCTTGGTCAACTGAGCGCTTAGAAGCCATTCGCAAGAAGCTGGAGCGGGTTGGGCCGCACATGTTGGGATGACCTCGGCTTGCTTCTCATCGGTGCAGGGAAGCTGCCCAAAGAGTTCAAACTGCAATTCCAATTGGTTCCTCCTTTTGATCGCTTCTGATGCTGAATAATGGATATATTGTTTGTTTTTATGAATGGCCTCAATTGAATATATAGGCCCTAGGGGAGGTTCCTAGTACACACACGCACACTTTCTTAGCAATAGAATTTCACATTTTATCTCTGGAGGGGCTGGTTTCCGCAATTGGCTGAGCAACCAGGCTCGGTTTGTTTCGCATGTGACAAGCTGCGGCAGGAAGAGTTCATCCTGACGGGTACGGTGAAGGCGGGCGATCAGACCGTTGGAATGTGTTCGGTGTCGTTTGCCCACACTGGTGATAGCTGCTGAGTTGAAAAGTTGAAATCCCAATGAATCATGCCATCATCAAATTATAAGAAGCGCTTGCAAGTCCCTGCAATGTGCTCGGCCCAAGCAGTAGCCGCAATTTCTTGGTTTGATATGTTCAATTCTGTCAGGACTGAAGAAAGAGGTCATGAGTCATTGCCCTAGGGGTCGGCCAGCTTGGCACCAAGGCACATCAAGCAGTTTAGATGCTCAGTAATTCGCATGAAAGACAGGTGCCGTGCAAACGCACTTGCATTGTTTCAGGAGACGGCCCCCTTTAATTCTGCACCTTCCAACAAACATTGTTACACGGACTTCTCACTGGAAAGGCATTCTCCTGTCGTGTCAAACATGCTGCCACCACTTACATGGATGCTTAGTTCTATGATGGCTCTTTCCGCGCACAAATGTGCCGTGGAATGATTTCGTGCCGCAATTTTTTGGGGAAAGAACGCAGGGAGTATTTTGCGAACGATGCTTGGGCAGTAATTGATCCTGGCCCTTTCTGGAGCGTTGAGCAGCACAGATGGCTTCTAGAAGAATGTTGGTATATGTTGGTCACCTTCCGGCAGCTAGCCGGCCTTGATACGAATACGTTTTTGCATGTTTTTGCCTTGCTGCTTTACCTGTGAGCAGCTGAACCTGCAGAGAATCGTGTTGTGGTTCCTCCGCAGCACTTGAAGCTCACATGTCCACGCTAGAGGGGGGTACACGGCCAAATACTTTGATTACGTTTTGCCAAGTGGCCACGGAAGTAGTCAGGAACTCGTTGTTTGTACCTGGTAGCCAATTGGTCTAGCAGCCTAGAAACACCAAGCACTGTTCACCAATCTTGAAACTGCCATGGCCAAGCGCCTATGCTTAAGTTCTTTGTTAGTGGCCTTGGCGGCACGAATCTCAAAGCTATGTGAAGCTGCAAGGCTACATAGAACACCCTGCCAGTCTCCTACTTTCATCCGAGGCTTGGCACTGGTTTGAAAGCCCGAGCTTCGCTCCAGCTACACATATTGTCCCCTGGCCTCAGCGTGATCAGATGTGATCAGCGTTCAGTGTGTGCTGAGTCACGTCAACTTAGGGCTCCAAGAAAGGCATGACTTCAGAAATACTACTAAATTATATTGTATGCATGCCGAGGAGACCGCCAAAGGGCACGTGGTTGGGGCAAAGGATGAGCTAGCTACTGCTACAACACAATTGGTGAAGGACGGAGGGGTTGATAGCAGTGTTGGAAAATGATGCCGGTGGCCGGTGTGATTGGTCAGGAACCGCTGAGTCCAGAAAGCCTGGCAGCGTGGGCTAAGGCTTCAGTGGAATCTAGTGGCAGTGCCTAGCAGAGCACATGTTGCCGGCTTTGTTGCAGGTGGTCGGAGGGCAAGTCCTGCGCGGCTTGAACACTTTGGCTGTCCCTGTTTGGGGCCCTGAGCAGCGACGTCCATGTCATCAATACGGGCGGGGATTGGTGCAACAAAAGGTAGGAGAATAGGTCCTGGACTTGTTATTGTTATGGTCAATATATAATTATATATAATTCAATGATGTTGCGTGCTGGTCCACGAGTTTGCTTTGCATCAGTTGGCAACATGATCGATTGCTGCTTGGGAAGCACATGATGTGTTTGTTCTGACTTTGCATTTTGGAGCTGTTTGAGGCACGCATCACGCTGCAGACTGCCACTGTGCTGGCTGGCACGTTTGGGAGAAGCTGTGTTGCACTGAACGACTTAATATCGACTTGATATACAAATGGGATCATGTTGTTGATGGTTTGCACATGCGAGACCTGTTCTCAGCAACCAAGCATAGTTATCATGGTTCATCGATTGTGAGTTGAAGCCTATCCTCATTGCCAGGCTGTTTTGTTGACACCCCTGTCACTGCGCTTGCAGAGCATAGCTCATAAGCCACCGAGTGCGGGAAGGGCAGCCATGCGGAGAGCTTGCGAGCTCTTGGAGGTCATTTGGCCGAAGGGATCAGCAGAGGAGTAGTGAATGAGAATGATAGGTAGCAAGTTTGGGATGAACGAACAGCGCAGGGTCCGCAGTGGATGTTGTTTTCTGGACGCCTTGTCGAGTGGTCAGCTCTAGTCTATAATTAAAGAAATTTGTATACTTATCTATACTTTGTGAATTGATGTGGTGAGTTGTGCATTCATGTTCCCATTGTGGCAGGTGCAAATGCCATGTCCCGAGTTATGGTTGCTTGATGTCGGTGAGGAGGCGCACTCGGTGATATTCCCTGTTGATCCTGAACAAGCGATCCCTTCGGAGGCTCAAATTCAGACCCTCCCTCTAGAAGCACCGCCTAAGAAAAGCTGGGCCGTGTTCATCAGTGGCCCGTGCCCTACCACGGGAAAGCTTGGGTGATCATAGACGCGGGTGTGGCTCAAAATAGAAGACCTGCGAACAGTTTGTGCTGGGAAGATCACTGCCAGCCCAAACCAGATCTATTGCAGTAAAGGGCCTTATTTTGATCCACCCCCTCCTAGCCTTCCACCGGACCTGCTTTGCAAGTTGGCTCTTTTGTGACTTATACCTGTTGCCTTTGGTCATGCAGCCGCCAATTATCGAGGTCACTTAATGAAAGTGGCGAGCAAGGACCAGCTCGTGGCGCTCCTTGTCCGAGAGGCCTTTGAAATGTGAGTTCATCAAACTAGGCTGCATCCCCGGCAAATGTCATCGACTCATAGATGAGATTCAAAAGCTTCAACGGAGGCACGCAGAGCTCTTGGTGTTCGTGCTACAGGTGCAGACCCTTTGATACAAGTTGGCTCAAGCCCAAGGGTCCAAGGCTCCGTTTCTGGATGCCATGGGGCAAGTTGGGTCTCAAATTTGTGGCTTCTTGCAGGGCCACGGCAGCGGTTCGCGGCCAACATCTTCTGTGGAACTGAGCTCACAGCAACAGAGATATGTTCCTCCTTATGCCTTGCCACCAAATTCACAGACTGCTCCATCCCCTGTTGCTCAAGCGTGTTCGCCCACAGGGCAGCCGATAGCTCAAGCATTTCCACCCACGGGGCAGGCAGTTGCTCAAGCATTTCC